CTTAAAATAAGAAACTCTTCTTGGCGCCTATTTTAGTATAAAATATACTTAAAGTAAGTGGGATATATCCTCAAAACAAGAATACAATTTTTTCGGTGTATACTTCGTGTTGCATGAGTATAAGAATAAGAATAAACAACCGCGACGGTTGAGAATCTCATGAGAATTCTGAATATTACAATGAGAATATATATACGAATTCAAAAAAAGACTTTATTCGCGCGCAACGATCATTATAAAATATGATCGCGAACGACCGCGCGAACAAAGTGTTGGGAACGACTCTGCTTTCAACGCTAAATGTCAAGTGTGCGTACGTGGCTAAATGTTTGCTGCCGCCCCAACCCGGGCGTTCACAATCGGCGTTGCGCCGAAACGCAGAATTCGCATGCGAGCGTATTTAGTTCGTGATATGAATACCAACGAGCCGCGTATGTTATACGTTGCTCGCGCGGTTATATAGATCGCGCACGCCAGTCGATGATTCTATGGAAATTCCTCTAGGCCCTGCGAAAATACAGAGCCATAGTACACAAACGGGAGATCCCTAGAGGCTTAGTTATATGGAAAACAGGAGCGGAGCAACTCGAGCGCACGCACGTTAGCGTGTTGCCGCACGCCTCATTAGTAGGTAAAGACAAAAATGAACGACCAGTACAAGCGAGCGGAGCTCTTCGTTTCAGAAATCAATTCAATTATACGGGGTGTGTCAAACGTTTTTCTCAAATGCGCGGCTTGCGCACGAAAACGTTAAGGCCTGGTTTATGCGGGCAAATAAAGCCTTGTTTTGGCTTTGTTTAGGCGGATAATAACTGTTTAATTTATGCCGGAATTGGTACAGTTCAACTATAGGATTTTGATGCTTCTGTTATATTCTTTTATGCTTCTGTTAATAAACAGAAATATTAAAATCTTAGGCCCGCATAAACCAGGCCTAAGAGACACTTCTGTACTCCGTGCGTTTGTGAGGAACGTCCAATCGTGTGTACTTTTACGCGCGATATATACATGACTCACATACACGAAATACAGCGAGAGTTTGACGTATTCACTGTATGTACGTATTTTTCTTTTTTTTTTTTTTTTTTTTTTTAATTTTAGAATAATTTAATTCGCGTGTCACAACCGCTACTGATAATTTTATTTAATTATTACGGCTAAGTTGGGTCAAACAAATATTATCATTTTGTATACGCGAGTATTACGACAAAAAAAAAACTGAAACAATCAATATCACGTCGTAAAGTAAAAAAGTAATATCATGTGCATAAATATGGAACATTTGTTTGTTTGTTTTTTTTTTTTTTTTTTGACTTCGAGTTATAAAATGAAACATTGATTGTTTTAGTTACAGGACGTTGTTTAATTGTTTTTACATGAAGAATCTGAAAAAATTGACCGGACCTTGAACTATGAAAACCCGGTCGACCCAACTTAGAGCTGGTGGGAAAACAAGCTTTCAGCTCGTAAATTAAAACGAGTTTAATCTCTGGAAGTTTCTGTTTACTTCTCGTTTCGATTCGGTCGTTTATTTACCGTAAACTTCACGCGTCTTTCCCTCCTTCCTTTTGCACGTGTTCAACACTTATATAGTTTTACATGACATTTCAATTTATATATCGTTGTGCGCATGTTGATTGTTAAAAAGTATAAATATATAAGATAGAGAATTTTTATTTTCTTTTTAAAGAGAGTTTTTTTTACGCAAAATCGTCAGAAAGAGATCTAATTTTCTGTCTGCGAACTTGATTTTCATCCGAAATTGATTTAATTTGACGAGAGTAGCGGCAATCCCTTCGCTTCGAGTTTGAAGCGAAGGGATTCCTCACCCTCCGAAGACCACGACCAGATGGTTACGCTAGTACATAACGGGTTAATGCCGGGGAGTTAGTTAGGATGTTAATTAGTATAGAATAGACTTGCTGCGCGGAAAGAGAGAGAGAGAGAGAGAGAGAGAGAGAGAGAGAGAGAGAGAGAGAGAGAGAGGAGAAAGAGAAGTACGCACGATACACTATACTTTGACAAAAGGTAAAGCGCGCAAAGGGCAGGACCAAAATGATGTTATTCTGTGGCATCGCATAAAGACATTTAATCCTTCAGTGAAAAGGATGCCAAGACATTTAATAATGCGAAACTACAACGTGTACAAAAACCAAAACTGTGTATTGCGTGTCGGTATAATGATTGTTTTTATAAACGTGATAGAAAAAATTTAAGCGTCTGACTTATAAATACTTGTTTTGTAAATATATAAAATTTTTTTCTATTAATAATAACAAAAACCTGACGCGTTGCGATGACGACGCGGTATATAAGAAGAATTTATATTACCGACTGACACATACCTTCATAAGCGGTCATTACGCAATCGCAGCTATTACGACAAGTAACACTTCCTGACGCCTTTCACTCTCATGAAGAAATTTCACCTCGTTTCTACGGGAGTGTTGAACAAAGAACGCACGCATACGACTTGAATCACGTAAAAAAAACACGTGCTGCATTAGCAGCGGCACGCGAATTAATGGCGAATTTTTGCGAAGAGACAGACAGTTGAATCGTCATAGGAAACGGTTTAAATGGTCTCTAAGGTCGTTATAACGACTTAAAACAGTTTCTCGATGTACCAAAAACTCGCGAGCTGTGCATTATTTCTCACATTTGGTCTCTCAGGTCATCAGAATTTCGTCAAACAAAAAACGACAAATGGGGCTTAAGTTTTAATACAATAAAATATAATATGCACAAAATTTATAGATAGAATAAACTTTTGCAAGTAGAAATATCTATTATACTCAGAAAAAAATCAAGCACAGATAATATCAGAATTTTTCCACTCCACAATTCGCACATACATGGTGTATCTTTCTCTTTAAAGATCAAAAAAACACAAGAGAAAGAAACATTACACTTGTCTGTTTGCGTGACGGATTTTTGCAAACATTTTTGTAAAAAAAAGCCGGCGAGAGAAAATTACACTCAATTAATAACACGGCAAAATCGCCCCAAGGAATCCGAAAAAAAAAAAAAAACAAAAAACAGACGAGACAACAAAAGAAACAAAAAGGAAACGTTGTTACTGCAAAAAAGTGAAGGAAAAACATTGGACAATATATTTATTAAAAAACAAACAAACAAAAACAAAGAGAGAAAGAGAGAAACAGAAAATATGAAAGACGTATAGAGTAACATAAACAGTGAAGCAAAAAAGTAAGAACTAATACGCTTACCTTCATGTCGAAGCGGAGATTGGTTACTGATGCTGGCGGTGTCGCCGATCAGCTGCTTTATATCTTGTTCCCAGTCCAATGGCTGGACCCCGAATTCGTCGGTCTGACTTACAGCCCCTCTCAGGTCCCCCCAGGTTCTTTCCATCATATCCTTTGCGATTCCGCGAAGAGATCGGAAAGTGCAAATGGCGTGTGTGCGTCACCAATGTGCAAATCTTTAAACGTACGTTTGTATTCTCTCGCGATGTATTCGCAGATATTAATGTCATTTGTCGTGTATAAATATTGATACACAGCGAGTTCCTTTAACCGAGATTCGAAAGTTTTTTTGGCCGGCTTCTGCTTTCCGTTCGGTTTGAAATCTTTTTTTGCATTTCGCGCCTCGTGAAAGTTTTTGACCTTCGGTCACACACAGAAACGGGGAAAAAAAAAAAATTGACTTTCTTCTTAAACAACCAGCAATTTTATTCCTTTTCTCGGAACAATTCTTACGGAGAAGAAGAAGAACTCTCGTAGATCTTATCAACGTATTTTTTATACTGTCTGTGAAAAAAAAAAAAAAGATTCACCGGACAATGGATTGTAACGGGGTTTGTCCGAAGGGGGCGATCGCGAGAATTTGGCGCGCGACATTAGAGAGAGGGAGAGAAAACGTCAGCGCTTTTGCACGAGCGCGCGCTCGTTAGCAGAATTCAGCCGGAATTGCAAAAATAATATTTGGCCGGCATTAAGTTAACGGGCGTACGCTCGTACCTCGTTAACTTTGCCGCTTCGGTCGCGCGGGGGGCGAATTATTGCTTCCGTTCCGGTAGCTGCGCGAAAACAGGCGATTCGCGCGCGCGCGCAAAAAAAAAAAAAAATCGGTGCCTCGCGGGTCAACGTCAGAGACGCGTTGCGCAAGAGTTGCAGTCGCGGCAACATAAGAGTTTGCGTGCAAAGTCTGTACGTAGACCGACCAATGATGATGCGTCTTCTAAAAGCTAGATATGTGTACGGATGTTGTGTTAATCTAACCAATTTGCGACGGAACGCTGTAAGTTGCGTAATTTTTGTACCGAGAGAATGTTTTCTTCAATCGGAAACTACGTAACAAAAATGTACTAACTGTAATAATATAGTAATAATATTAAGTACACACAAAAGTAGTGTATGTGTGTTCTCTCTCTGTAAAATATGTTTTTACCGAATCAATAATAAAATTCTTTTTAAGCTTTTTATACTACAAAAAAAAATTGTATCGAAGTTTTTGCTCACACACACACACACACACATAAATATATGTGGTTTTATAATATTTGCTTTCTGGAAATTACGTGTAATAATGGGAAATTTACACAGAAAAGTCTCTATACTAATTTATTGCTGTATCATTGTGAAAACCATCTGGTCGAATCAATTAAAATTGAAAAGAAAAGTTGCGTTAATTAACAAATTTTTTTTTAAATGTTTTATTTATATAAATTTATCTTTTTCGCAGCATTCAAAATTACGTGCCCTGTTTGTCGCTCAGGATTTTATGACTCGTAATAAATTTATCCGACCGTGCATATAATAGGACATGGAATATTGTATTATTATATCGAGAGGCCGGTCGTGTGCACCTGTTACGGACATCTCCCGCGTAATCCATATTTTACAAACGCAATATCGATAGCCGCCAGCGAGATATATTTCCTTTGTTCCGCCTAGAATTAACATCATTAATAAATTACAACATCGAGAATGATTAGCGGCGTTTTACTCAGGCTCATTCGGAATCGACATTATCTACAAAGAACAATCGCAAAAGTGAGCGCCACTTGAGCGTGTAAAAACCGCGTGTCTGAAATTTCCAATACTATCAGAGAAATCACACACAATTGAGCGACGCGTACATACGTTTGCCAAAAATGTTTTACGCAACGTGTTTCGAGCTTTTACAACTTTAAATTTCCCCAATATTTTTGTTTAATTGGAATAGTTTGTGTATGCAACAAAGAGTACAGAGAGAGAGAGAGAGAGAGAGAGAGTAGTCGGACTTTAAATATAAAACATATACATATTAATTCAAACCCACCTGTCATTCTTTTCGTGCTACAACATGAACTGCGGTGCAGGTTACTAATAATTCAAGCAAATTATTATTAATCCGCGTTTCCTAGCAATCTGCGCGTCTAATTAACCTAATTGTTTATTATTAATTTATATTGCAATGTTATTCAAATTAATATATCCGGAATATTCGCAAAATATGGAAATCAATCGCGTTCCAACGTATACGAAAACGGAAACGTAGCTTGACGTAAAACTATTGAGCAAAAAGTTATTGACAAAAATGGAATCGGCATGAAAAATACAAATTTGCATATTGGTAATTTTTGGATATGCATAATAAATAATAAACAATTTTGTGATATGCTTAAATATTCATGGCGTACTGTGATTTTATAAATAATTTTATGTAACATATTGTTATATATATGGAGAAAGAGAGAGAGAGAGAGAGAGAGAGAGAGAGAGAGAGAGAGAGAGAGAGGGAGAGAGAAAATTTCAATTCTTATTTCGATATTCAATCTCTGAATATTGGGTAACAAAATATAAAATTTATTCTTTTTAAATGTTTATAAAATGTCATACATTTTTTGTTTACGTTGCAACTTCATTATACAACAAGAAAACTTATTAAAAGTTCCACTCGTGTTTTCGCGGTATATATAAAAAAAAGAACATGTTAATTTATGTTTCGGCGAAGGTAAATTTTATCCTCTTTGATATAAGATTAAATAGATGATTTATGTATATATATTGTAAATATGCGCTTTCTTCTTTTACGTACGTCAATACTGGCAAATTTTAATGTGACATTGCAGTTTTTGGTTTTGCCGCCGCTATATTATTTATTTGACAAAAAACACACAAAAATGAATCAGTAGTGTCTATTTCTATGTATGCGAAGCAAAGCAGTGACGCATAAAAATAAGGCTTGAGTAACTGAAAAAAAAAAAAAAAAAAAAAAAAAAAATTTTTTTGCGCATTCTTTTTCATAAAGCAATTGTATAGCTTAACATAAATTAGCGTTGAAAACATCGACTGTCATTATGATCAACTACGAAATACTATATAAAATGGAAGATAAAAAGACGACTGTGAGCGATCAATTTGCTTGCTAATGAAACTAGTTTCTTACGTAATCAATATTTCTTGGTGTAAACAACTAAACAAAATCAAAATAAAACAAACAAACAAAAGGTTAAAGTTACAATCGCGAGTAGTCGTTGTGAAAATTTTATTTTGTTTTTAAAATTAAAAAAAAAACAAAAAAAAACACTCGATAACAAAACTCTGACGCGGATGAAACTTGTAACGTTCAATCTACATTTTGAGAAAAATTAAATATTATTAAAACACAGTCAGATGCAAGATTGAGAACAGAAATAGGAGAATGTAATTGGAACGAATAAAAAAAAAAAAAAAAAAAAAATTGCAAGTACGCACCGAACCTTTGGGAAAACTCAAGGAAAACTGGAGGATAAGAGAGAAATTCCGCGTTGTGTGTTCCTATACACGAACGACTTGGAATCACCTGGTGGCCGTGGCCCCCCGTGTACTTTAGCGGCCCCGGTTTTTAGATATACTTTTTAGCATGAACCGCGAGGGGCTTTGAATTCGCGCTCGCGGAATATTCCATGCGAAATCCAGACATAACCCAAGCAAGCACACACTGTGCTTGCCCGCGCCGCGTGTCCTTGTTCGCTTTGAATTTATTATAACTTGGCGTACAAGGATATCTGTCCGAAACCCTTCCACGGCAAGCTAGCGCACGCGCGCGCCTCTCCGCTCTGTAGAAATTCAATTCGTTGTACGCCCCTGCGCGCGTATTATTTTATTATGTCCAGACGTTGCAAAAACGACTACGCAGATAAGAAAACTTTTTCCTTTTCACACACACACACACACACACATCTTTTTATCTGTCCCGACTAGAAATTGTTTTTAATGTCCCGAAGTAGCAAACCAACGTACCTCGACGTCAAACGACGCCCGATGTTATCTCGCCTGATGAGATTAATTTCTTCATCTTTTCAAGCTGTATTTTTGTTGATTGATGATATCCAATTTTACGGACATAAAATTCCGCGTATATGAAATTCAAAACTTCTCGTTTCTCTTGTTAATAGTAAAAGAATCGCGCGACTCTAGATATACATATGTATATTTTTCTTTCTATCTTTTTTTTTTTTTTTTTTTTTGTCCAATGTAAATTTACACGTAGACAGAAAACCTGCTCTCGTAGACTTTAGCGCCAGACGAACACGTGTCCACGCATACATGATGTATACCGCCTTGCGGAGACAAAGGTTGGTTCCCGACACACCTAATATTTGACGCACCAAATGTCCGCTACACGAGTTGTCATGTGTGTGTGTGTGTGTGTGCAATAATATACAGTTTATTCTGAAATTACCACTTCCTGCCCCATTCTTATGATTTATTTTCACAGTGAATATTCAAAATGATAAAACATTACACCAGGCTTCTGGCTGTTGTTGTTATCTATTATCGTTCGCAAAACTGAAAATTAAATATGACAATAATGTTATTTACTACAAACTGAACATTGAGAAATTACATGTAATATAATAAATAAAATAACTAACGTAAAACAATTTCATATTTTATGTATATGAGTTTTATTCTCGTGTATTTGCGCATTTATCGCTTGTATAATCGCAGAAAATATGACGCAAAAAAAGAAAGAACCGCACACACGCGCTATTTATGCTCTTTCTATATGTTGCTCACGTCAGATTTTTGCGAACTCTTTTACCTCACGCATATAAATATGTACGAAACTCCAACGTTGAACATATCTTGTAACACATATACATGACGAATCAGAAAACTAAATGCGCACAAGTTCCGCATGTCGATTACACGTTACACTTTTAAGCAGTAAGCGTAAGTTTTTACCATAACAAAGATAAAAATATAACAAAACACAGAAAGAGCAAGGTAAAACAGATCTACGATTCTTTGAGAAGAAAAAAAACGTTTTTTTCGAGCGTTAAAAAAATGTCACAAAAATAAATATGAATCGTTGAAAATCCGCGTTGAAAAATTAAATATTTAATTTTTCGCGTCACAGAAGAACTGAAATGTATAAGAGCGAGAACGCTTTTTATATTTAATCCGATATTGAAATTCGACAAGCAGGAAATATACGAGGCTTCTATAAATATTTGATATGCTATCAAAAGGGTTATGGATCAAATTTCCGCGTAAGCGATGATCGCTTTATTGTCGGTGATCGTCCATATGCAGACGCATAAGGGAATTGCGCTCTCGTTACGTATGCGTGATGCATAGCCGAGTGTTCAGCCCGAGCGCTGTCATTATCGTCGCGATTATGCATATTCAGATAAGCAATCAACACCATTGAGGCTCCGGGCAAGGGTCGCGCAGCTTGAAACGGGGATTTGCTCGAGTGCTGCTATCAGAACCGTAGAAAAAAGGATCAAAAGTACTAGCATTTTTTGTTGTTTGTTTTTTTATTTTTTTTTTATTAAAACCAGAATCGAATATGTACATAAATAAAGAGAAGAAACAGCAGTTGAAAAAAAAAACAAAAAAAAACAAAAACAGTAATTGTAGCAGCGAGAAACGAAAGTGCATACATACATACAGAAGAACAAAAACAATTATATTTAATTTAAGACTCGTTCTCGATCTATAGCTCAGTTGTGCGGAATTAGTGACTAGGAGATTCTGCAGATTTGAATCCGACTAACGAGCACATTCGGATTTTTTTACGGGTCGCTTTCCGAGCTGACAACTCTCAACGAGAAACATATATATATCTCTGCCTCACAAAATTTCTCGCAAATAGAGAACCTCGTCTTTATGCATCTTCTTTATTGGAAGTCCACCTGTACGTTGTTCTTTATATACTCGAATTCGCATACATGAATGTAAAGAGAGAATCAGAAAAAAAGACGTGCTGAGGTTATAAAAATCCGTTATACACATGAGTATATATAAAACTCACTTTTTATATTTGAACAGCTTTAACAATAATCTTTTGCATATTGCATTTACATCAGAGTTTTATCTGTACATGTCCCTGAATGTGAACCACTTACGTTTGACTCTTGAAAACACGTTGTTCAGAGGCGACAGCAACCATAAGGATGTTTAATAACCGGGCCAGCATTATCCTAGAAATTGCTCGACGGTAGCTCGGCGCGCGCGAGCCGGTCTCGCAATTTCGTCGTCGACAAGAACGGGCCACTAAATCCTGGAGGGAGAAAAGTGTCCCCGCGCCCGGCGCGCGGCGTATCGTCGTCGTCGTCAGTCGGATCGCATAATCGGCGATTTTTTTCCCCGCACTTCGCAGAACAAGACGATGTAGTATCGCGTAAGTAAAAAAAAGGGTCACGGAAAAGAGACAAAGAAGACAAGTGCTCGTAGATGGCAGAGGAATATATACGGGGTGTGTCTCTGCACAGGTATTATACTTTCAATTCTACGAGCAAGAGACTTTTTTAAATGCGGGAAAGAGATAGATTGTATGTACGCGCGCAATTCATTATGTTGCATTCATTTTATCAGACAAAAAAAAATACAAGAACAATAACTTTATATGATAAAATGAGAAATAAAAAATTAAAAAAAAAATTGAGAAAAATATGATTCACTTAGATGTTAAAATATAAAAAGGTTTTAATTATAACAAGTGATTGCGAAAATAATAAAAAAACTCGATGGTGTGTCTTCGGATATCATATGCACGTGTATTACACACAAACACACACACACACAAAACTCCTATATTAGAATATATAGAATATTATTTGCTATTTAATAAATCCACATTGTTTTAATAGTTTTTACTCGGTTGTTAGTTATAAAAGCATTTAACGTTAAAAATTATGAGAGAAAGAAATTCGTCGAGAAATCTGCGAGAGACACAACGAGTAAGCACGCGATACCTCGGGCACCCGGTATAATGTTTTAATTTCGCGGAAAATCTGACGATGTAATTTCTGGAGTAGAGCGACGCTCGGCAATTGTTTCAGCCGGCTTTCACCCCCGCATTATTCATGAGTCGGTCCCTCTTTTTTCGCCAACGAGAAGAACGACACTCTCTCTCTCTCTCTTTCTCTCTTTTTCTACCTTCGTCAGTCTCTCCTCCTCGTTTCGTACTTTTTCTTTTTTTTTTCCCCGAGAATGATTATTTTTGAAGCCTTCAGCTCGTAGACATGTACATACGCTCGGATTGTTAATCTTTCTATTAACTCTAAGAGAAAGAGATCAATAAATCTTTATTTCGCGTATAAATTTATTATTTGTTTAGAATGTATACACACACACACAGTGACTTTTTTTTTACTTCGTCTCTAAAAATATATATATTTTAATTCACATTTGTATGTTACTTTTTAATATGACAGATCTTATATCGCGTGCTTGTGCGATCGCGACGGCAAATCCGAATTAATCGCGAGCCAATTTTAATAGCGCTAATTATCATAATTTCCATGAGATCCCAATCCACAACACCACGAACGCTGCTGGCTAGCTCTCTCCTCTCTCTCTCTCTCTCTCTCTCTGTGCGCAATTGCGGAAATCGCCGTAATTCGGAACACGAGTACTCGGGAATAGCATTTTCCATCCCCCGAGGAATTCCATAATAGTATATATCACCTCTCATAATTCCCTGGGAGGACCTTATGGCTCTTTTCCCGTGAGGGACGCGAGATAAAACAAAAGTATACAGTTACAATTTATAAGTATATAGACTTACAATAAAAAGAAAAAAGCGCGTACGCGATGATGCGATAAAATTTATTACAAAGATATGCGATACGTCTATAAATATGGATTGTTATGGAAAAAAAATTAGTGACAAATAATAAATGCTTCTTGTTGCAGCATCTTTGTCACAAAAGTGTGCAATGTTAATCATTATTTTGCTAAATATTGAGAAAATATTACTTAAGATATAATATTATCACTTCGAATTGCTATTATATCTTACTTGTAGATTCTATTTCTTTCATATCTCGTCGCACATATCCACGCGCGTTTCTCTCCCTAGAATCTCGATTTAGAGAGGACCGCAAAAGGCGTCGCCTCGAGCCTTTTCTCTTTCTCTCTCTCTCTCTCTCTCTCTTTCTCACACGTATATTTCCGCAGAACAAAAAGATCGGATAAAAATTCTGAAAAGGTCCATTTGTTCTCTGCGATATGCAATACTTAAATTTCTATCGCATTTGCCGAAGGGTGTCATTTCGATTGGCAAACTTTTTATTTTTTCACGTATTTCTCTTTTAAATAATTACGGAGTTTTATCACGTATTTTCTCCGACAAGCATTTTATTATTTATTATAGAAAATTTTTTTTTATTAATTTATTATCGTAAAGAGGAAGATGTGTCGGATTTGTACTAATATATTGATTATGGTTTTTGTTTTTTTTTTTTCAATCGAATACCGATACTTCTATATTCGATACAAAAAAGAGATAATATCTCTTTTGAAATTTTTAAACATCGTCTGCGAATTCGGGCGTGCAAAGTTAGCAGATATTATTTACGGATAACGTAACGTATACACGCTAATAGATATTTCCCATCGTGATCGATCGATACAGCTTCCTCAGCACAGTTAGGTTGAGATACAAGTTAAATTAATAAGCCTTACATAGTCGAGAACTCGCGCATTATTCAGTCGAACGGCAAGGAGACGTCGTAGCAACGGAACACAACTCTTGCAATTCCTGTCGGTTTCTCGTTAGCGGTGCGGCGATAGCGCAACGGGCTTCGCAAACGAGCCGAACCGCAAGCTCGAAACGTTACGATTTCCATCCTTCGAAGAGGTGAGAGAGCGGGATAAAGAGAACTGACGCGGAAATAGCGCTTCACACGTATATACCGAACGCGAAATCCTTTTGGTTTCTACGAGTAATCAACTTAGGAAAACGCCCGCTCTTTCATCAATTGTGTAAACATGCATTAAGCACACCTTTTTCGCATCGACGCGCTCTTCAACGTGCTACGAAAACACATCATTTAATTAAAAAAACTAGAAAGCAAATAAATTCTGTTAAATTGGATACATTTTACGGAGCAAAAAACAAGCAGATAAAATTGCACTTATAAAATATTGATTAAAGGAATTTTGATTAAAAAATCACAACGCACTATAACTTTCTTGAGTTTCTTTATTAGTAAATAATAATTTACATCTTATCGTGTATTTAAATGGAAGATTATTTGATAAAGTCGCATACACCCAAGAAGAGTAAAAAATCCTAAAACAGAAAACAATTTTTTATCAAATAAAAGAAGATAATATATAAAATAGTAAAATTATTATAAAATTCGCTCAGATAGCAAATACACATGATTAATCACGGCATTCAGAGATCTTGGTGGTAAAAAATATCATCATTCTTGCATGTGTGTGTGTATATATATATATATATAATAAAGATTATACATGACATTTTACCTTGAAGATTGAATTATTGCCAAGTATCTTCACAGCCAATAAGAGACCTAAAGACATAAAATAATATTTCTAGTAGCTTTATTATTTTGTGTTCAATGTTAAGCTGTTGAAAATAATGGCGTCAGTTAGCAAATACCGTAAAATCATGGCATTCAGAGATCTTGGTGGTTCAAATATCATCACATGTTTGAATATTGTGAATATAAATTGTTATTAAAAAAAATCAAGAAATTTAAATAAGATTTTATGTAATGTGTAAAAGTCAATGTAGATGTAGGGGGGAAATAATATCGAGTTATTTGAATAAGTCTACATATGTATGAGATGTTTTTAATAAATAAGAATTACCTTCTTAAAAGTTGACTTTTCCGTTTTTCTATTGAATTTCAATGAAACCTGAAAAATTAACAATACTGATTAAAAACAAAAAATTTTACTTGCATATAAATGTTAATATAAACTTTGTAGAATCAGAAGTAGCAAATTGAAATCATAGCATTCAGAGATCTTGGTGATATGTTGTAACATCATTTTTTTAAGTTGAACTCAACATAAATGACATAAAAAAAAAAAAACTATTAATACCTTTATTCACTTCACAAGATCTTAAGATAGAAGCAGCAAAGCTTGCAGGCAATCTAAACATTAAGAAAGAATAGTATGTCAAGATTGTTATTTTTCCATTTAAATTTCAATTTATTAAAGTGATAGTCAGTTAGCAAATACTGTAAAATCACAGCATTCAGAGATCTTGGTGGTTCAAATATCATCATATTGGGATATACTATATTAGTCATCGTACAAAATTATAGTAATCAAATAAAACTTACCCGAATATTTAACCAATTTTAGATGATAAGCCATAACTGTTGAACATTTTGTACACCTGAAACCTCCACAAAACATAATATATTGCTTTTTTCCGTTATATAAAATTATGTATCTAGAAAAATGCTTACCTAAAATATATGTATAATTCTTTTATTAAACTAAAATATATATCGCTTATATTTTTTAATGTATTTTGTGTGCTAAATAAATTATTTATTTTAGACATCCGCAAAGTAAGTGTACATAGCACAATTGAGATAGTGATAGATATAATTAAAAAATTGAGATAGATATAATTAAAACAGATAAAGCAATCAGAATCAGATTTTAAAAATCACTTGGATGCGCAATAAAATACATTTACTTCACCATGTCTATTTGTAATAAAAAATTACATTACAACATATATTTAATGAAAGATACAAATTAATCGGCTTTTTTAGTTGTTCGTGTTTTCTTAGTAGGAAGAGGTTTCTGAGATCTTAGTACAGCGCTAGCTCTTCGCAACGCAGCCTACAAAAGCACATACGCAAAAGTTATAATATTAAAATGATCAGAAGTGAGTTAAATCAATTGTTATACAGTTCGCATACCTTACTAAGATCTACACGATATTTATTTTTTGTAAGCAAAGTTTTTAGCTTGTGAAGAGACCGACGAGCTCCAGCTTTCATTGTGCTCTTTACAGTAGCTTTGGCAGGCTTGTTGACTGCCTTAGCCTTCTTGTAGACAACTGTGAATCCCTTCTTGTCAGGAGTATCGACAATGCCCACGCTTTTGCGATGAATCAAACCATTATAACGGTAACTATTCAAATTCGTCAAGTTGTTCGATTCCTAAATGTTTAACGAATTCTGTTGTCAATATTTGATATCGTTTTTGAAGTTATTGCAAGAAATAAAAGCTTTGATGTTCGTAAAGCATTGCAAACTGTGTACCGTTGAGAACGGCTTCTTGATATTCCGTTTCTTCAGAAGAAAAGCGTTGTTGTCACGGATTATCATCCAATTTAAGTGCGACGACATTTTGGCCTCTGCGATAGCACCACAATCTTTATTATTTTTATTTTCTAATTATCTACGCATTTTCTTATGCAAATAAATAAAATTTACATATAAATAAATTTGTATACATTGAGTAAAACTTTATTATTTTTATTTTCTAATTATCTACGCACTTTCTTATGCAAAAATAAATAAAATTTACATATAAATAAATTTGTATACATTGAGTAAAACTTTACAAAAATCTGCGCAAATGGTTGTGCATATGCATAGGTTGTGCATAGGTTATGCACTTTCTTGAAGATCTTACATTCCAGATATTGCTGCTGAGCAGCGGAAAAATTACTAGCGTTATTATTTTTATAATACATTACTATTAAAATAAATATCTCAGAGCAACAGATTGTCAAGAGAAAACAGAAAATTAATATTAAATTATACGTACCACGTGTAAACGTACTCACGAGTCAGCCAGAAATGGTAGAAAAGAGAATTTCAAGATGGTAGAACATATTTGTTCGTGTGTGTTATCACGGTTTATATAATATAGATAGAAAAAAACTTAGGCGCATCTGTGATTCTACCGCCAACTAGCGGTGATAATATAAAATCTGTTTTTTTTTTCTGTATTAAGCCTGTTCTACATTGATCACAAGCGCAAACGCAAGGAACAGGTCTCGTAGAATTGACTAATCGTATTGATCAAATCAGCTAATTGACGAGCGTGATTGGTAAATTCTACGAGATCTATATCTTGCGTTTGCGCTTGCGATCAATGTAGAACGGACTTTATATATATAGATTATGTTCTAGTAACTTTTTTACGCAATTGATCAACATGATTGGTCAATTTTAAGAGCCGTCTACAATGGAGAGTTGTAGGCCGTAATAGTAAGAAATTGACCAATCACAGACGAAGTACAGAAGAATAATCGATTGTGATTGGTCAATTTCTTACTGTTACGGCCTACAACTCTCCATTGTAGACGGCCCTTAAGACGCAGACGCAGACGCAGGTTGCAAATCGCAGATCTCGCGGAATTGACGATTGACGTTTGTCAACATCAGCCAATCGACTTACGTGATTGGTCAATTTTGCGAGATCAGCGACCTGCGTCTGCGTCTTATGTAGATTAGACCTTTATGTAGAATGGCCTTTATGTGGAATGGCCTTAACGGAATGGAATGCGTGGAATCAGCGTGACCAATCATAGCCATTCCGTTTTCTTTTCTTTGGCTGATTAGTCGCGCTAGTTTCGCGCATTAAGGGTCGTCTACAATGGAGAGTTTTAGACTGTAACAGTAAGAAACTGACAAATCACAATCGATTATTCTTCTGTACTTTGCCTGTGATTGGTCAATTTCTTACTATTACGGCCTACAACTCTCCATTGTAGACGGCTCTTTACGTTTCGCTATGTATTTCCGCTCAATGAGACGCCGCCCTTAAGATAGAATGAGCTTTAAATATGATGCAGTTTTTACAATATGCTGAATATATATTACGCAAATATTTACTTCAAAACTTCGATAAACTTAAACAACATATATTTATACATTATAAATTAAATGTACTACATTATGACGTTTCATTATCAAAAGGCAATTCAGAAAAAGTGTTTGCTACCTCAGTTTCGACGTAATTGATTTTTTCCTGTTTCTCCTTGAAACTGATAGTCTGAAAGTCCTGTGGAATAAATATTTCTATTTCGGATATATATCTTTTGTCATTTTCAGAAAATTGTTGTAGATCGGCCCATCGCACTCCCACATCTTTGCACACACATTTTCTGAACACCAAGCAATGAATGTGGCGTAGCTTTTCGTACTTGATTCTCATGAATCCTAATTTACTCAACGTATATCTCCAAGATTTCATTAGTTTTGCGTTTGCACCGATATGATTAGAGTCTGGACTTACAATAATCAATATCCCACCGCTTTTTAATACGTTATACGCATTTTTGCAGCAAACGTATCTTTGTTTTGGACACGGCAGATATTCCAACAACAAAGAGAATATCACAGCGTCAAATGTATCCGTTTGTAGTTGATAAATTTTTTTCATGTCCGATGAAAAAATATTTTCTCTTCCAATGTCGACGTTCAAAAAATCGCACTGAAACACTCCTTCCACCGCGGGAATCAGATCTATCGCGGTAACGTTGAACGTATCGTCAACATTCAGAGGATTGTAACAACTTCCCACATCCAGTATTGATATTCTTTGATTGTGAAAATTTTGTGACTTATTTTCCATAAGAATCTGATTATTTTCGAATTGTTGATCTTCCGCGATGCTTGACTTTTCAAGAGTCATCTTTCTTTTTATATCTTGTTCCCTGTTATAAAACTTTTCTTCACCGCCGTTCAAAAAATATTCCTTGCACTGAAGTTTTATCCATTCCATTCTGCAGTATGTTCCATTTTTCGAATTATTCTCGGTCCAGTACTTGGTGGCTAGTTTTTGCATAGATTCAGCGTATTCCTGAAATTGCAAAGTATCGAAACGCTTATATTTTTATTTTTCTACAACAATTGCTACATATCAGTTTCGAATGATATTACACAGACCTGCAAAACGTCATTTCGCGCCACATGACGATCCCACGCGATCTTGGCGCCATATCGATGACACTCGACGCGCAACAAGGAATGAGTTCTCTTCACAACGTCAGCCAAGCGTTTATGCTCTTCCGTAGCCATTAGTTTAATAACTACTTACCAATGACAAGCGAGTGGCAATAAAACTTGACATAAAAAATTATTCTTTTTTTTTTTTATTTACCTGCCTCTATGAGGGAAAGTTTGTAACAGGATGTAACATGTACAGAGAGAGAGAGTGTACGGAATTCAGGGAGAAACGCCATATTGTGCATGACTTGCGCGCGAAGTTTGACATTTTGTATAATATATAAGATTGAGATTTTTACATTTAAACTAATACAGTTAAACTATATATTTTGACAATTAGGACTTTTAAGTCACATTATTCTACAGGAATACGATATAACGATAAGGTTAGAATATAATGATTACTAACGTATATAGTCATATATATATATATGTATATATTGTTGTAATAATTTATTTACATTTCAACTTTTTTATGGTATACCTAGTTGTCCTTGATATAAAATTTCTCTCACAGTAAAAAGTTTTCTCTTGTTACGCTACTTACATAACACTATACCACTCAATCGTTTACTTGCATGTCTGTTTCTTTCGACTTTTTGCTTTGCTTTTTCTGCTTGCGTTGTTGTGCGCTGGGCGCGGTGGGTGCTTTTTTGCGTGGTGACGCCATGATCTGATCCTTAAACTGTTTCTTCTTGCTGCGCTTCTTCATGGCCAGTATATATTCCGGTACTTCGCATCCGGACTCGCGCATAATCGCCGCGATACTAAAAAAAAAAAAATATTGTATTTCACATTGTAACTTTATTGGAAAATACGCATGCATGAATATACAACCCGGTAAACAATAAAGTAACGTAACATTAATGTTACTTTGTGTTTACTGGGAAATTAAAGTAGTATATACCTTCGTAAATTTTCTTTGTCCTCTATAGTGAAAAACGTTATAGCTTTTCCTTTGTGACCGGCACGACCTGTACGACCTGTTTGAAAAAACGTTTAAAATATCTCTCGAATATTTCCAATAAACAAATAAACAAGAATCTTAAAAAATGAAAATCACACGCGTGAATCTGTCTCATCAATACAAACCTATCCTGTGGATGTAAGAGATAGCGGACGGCGGGAAATCATAATTTATAACAAGATTTACACCTTTAAAATCTATGCCTCTGCCCATCAACTCGGTGCAAATCAGAACCCAAATTTTTCCTTCTCTAAAACCACGTACAATGTTGTCTCTCTGAAAAAAATAAAGATTATTAATACATATTTACCGAGTATAATTGCATGACTCTTCATTCTCTTTTAGTTTCGTACCTCCGTCATTGTTCTGTCAGAGTGAATAACATCGACGTAGATACCGTCATAAATGAGCTCTTTGAAGAGTTTCTGACCCCGTTCTTTACTTTGTACAAATATTAAAACAGGCGGAGTTATACCCTAGTTTGTCAATTAAAAACACACGTCATATAATTTAAAGGCACAATTAAAGAACACCAGATTTAAATTTAAATTAAAATTTTATACCTTCTGAATAATATTTCTAAGTTCCAGTAATTTACCACTTTCCCAGCCAACAAATACGAGTTTTTGTTCTACTGTGTCTGCAGCTGCATTTCTATATAATAAAAAAAATGTATCTATATATTTACAGTACTCTGTGTATTGTTTCAATTCAATTATAAATAATAAGATAGATGGTATATATACCTGTGTCCAACTGTTACTGTTACAAGTCTCTTCATGTTAGTACGACACCACTTGGATACTGCGGGAGTATTTGTAGCACTGAACATACCTCGACGTAAATATGGATTGGTGCAAGCTCTCGAAATTTCTTCCAACTGTTTTCGAAATCCGCGTATACCTTCTTCGAATAGTTTATCCGCTTCATCAACAATTAACCACTCTACACTATATGTATAAAAAATAGTAACAAAAATATTATGTTTAAATGTAATTAGAACTATTTAATAAATTTATACAAAAAAACTTACTTGTTTAATGAAATAGCTGGTGGATCTTGATTTAGAAGAAAGACTAGCCGCTTTGGAGTAGTGATTAAAATATCTGCAAGAAAATCAAATTATAAATTACATCATATACACATATCTATTAAAATATTCATATGTATTTCAATACCTACCAAATTGTTGTGAACTTGATGGTCCGTATTTGGCTTGATTTATTTTGTTAATAATATGAATTCTAAAATCATAACCATGACTTAGTCGTAAAGCTTCTCTATATGTTTGTTTGGCTAACTCTCTCGTAGGGTTTAAAATAACAGCACGAAAACCTTTTTTTTGCGGTCCTTGTAAACTGTGAATTATAGGTAGCAAAAATGCTGCAGTTTTTCCTGATCCCGTTGGAGCGCAAGCAAGTATTTGTCTATTCTGTTACTCAACAATGAATAAAAAAAATATTTATAACTGTTTATATCTATTACTTTCTTCCTGTACAAATAACAATTGCAACTTACCTCCAACATAACTGGTATTGCTTGTTTCTGTATTGGTGTTGGATACATATATCCACAGGTTTTCATATTGTTCAATAGATTTTCTGATACCTGGTAGTTTATTCTCAATTCATCAAACTCTAGTATTAACTTAGGTACATGAGTACCAGTGACTGAAATGCGATTCAAATTTCTCAAGTGATTTATCTGAAAAATAAAAGATATCACAAATTACAAATACTTATATAAAAAATAATATAAATGTTATTTCTGTTATGTATGCAAATGTCACAACCTTTTCTTGCTCTAGTTTCATTATTTTATCAGCAGTTTTAGTCTTTTTCTGTTTCTTAGCTGGAACACTTTCATTCTTTGATGTTGACTCTCCGTCGAACATAATTATTCCATTATTTGTGTTGTCATCTCTTTCTTCACATTTTCGTTTTCTGTTATTTTCTACAACAAGTGGTTCTGACGCTTCCTCTTCTTCCGGTATGTTTTCTTCCTTAATCTTTATGTCATGTTTACTTGGTTTTACCAACTGCAAAGAGATAACAATAACATAATATGTAAATTATAACGTGGATAAGAAAAGAAATTTTCAAGAAAGAAGATATTTGCTTACTTACTCCAAATAATTCTGCATCTCTTCGAAAACGCTTAACATCAAATTTACAGCCTTTCGCGAGTATTTTAAAAATATCGTGAGCATCCATGTGTGTAATACACAAATAACAAATTTGAGGAAACAAGTAAACACGTGCAAGCGTTAAAACGAAGTACAAAGCGCGCATAGACATATAAGAAATAGACTGCGCGTCCCGTATCTTTTCTGTGCAGAAAGAATGGTCAAACTTCGGACGAGGATAGATGCTTTCACCCGAGTC